CATGATATGGCTTCCTGTCTACTAAACAGCCCCCAGGTGGCCAGGCATCAGGGGACCTATATTAATGAGTCAAGGGATTATCTCTCATGGGATTAGCAGGGAAGAGAATGGGGCTGATGCTGTCAATTTCTCCTCCATACAAGAGCAAGTACCAACATGGAGAACAGGGGTGGCTGAGTTGCTGCCAATAACATGTCCCTTGCATGAAGACAGCATGTTAGGAGGAGGAGGTGGAGGGGAAACAAGACATAAACCAGCTGTAAACACAGAAGCCAAGAGAATAAATCCCTGAAAGTCCCCAGCCAAAATCATCTCCTTGAAACACAATAATGCATAGCTGTCCCAGGTTTCTTCTTTTTGAGAGTGATTTAATACCAGAAATAAAAATTTCCCAGAAAAGATGTTCTCTCAAAATTCAGCTAGCTACAGGGTGGGATACAATCATCAGAAACCACAAAAGAAAATTTCTTGCAAAATTGGACGGGGGGATAGGGTTTGTGTCTTAGGGTTTAAATGATACCCCAGCTAAGGCTTGAGTGGTGCTGGGAAATTTACTGAAGTTCTGCATAGTTTCTGACCCTACAAAACTGGTTGAGCAATGACTTGTTAGAGGCAGTGGTTAGATCTACAACAGCCAATTCCTTGCAGAGATTTCTGCAGCTCTGATGTGTCATTAGGAATTACTGGCTTGAGGCAATTTGGGTATATTCTTCAGGTCTTCAGTTCAGCAGATAAAGCTGAAGCATAATCCTGGCCCATTTCAGAAGTCCTGCAAGGATAACCTACATGCAGTCCCACCTGCCATCTCTTTGCTATGCAGAGTTGGGACTTTACAAAGGAAACATCGATAATGCTTTACTACTTTCACTGAAATTGAATTTGTACTAATCTGTGATGAAATAAAACAAGCAGAGGGAAATTTTTATTGAGAGATAAATTGAAGCAGTTTATAGGATAAAAACAAGAGTAGAAAGAAATTATAAAAGAGCAAAATGAATTTTACAACAGAGTTAACATTCAGCTGGCTAGTGGAAAGGTGATGGCAGAACACCACTGTTTGGTTTAAAACCACAGCTGGGCTTTAGGGTACATATTAAAATTTCAGCACCAGGCATATGGAGACATTTGCAGAATTACATGCTGCAATATAGGTACTGTACCTTGTTTTCAAACGATGATAATGCTTACCACTTAGTATACTAAAATGGTAACAAGAACATGAATCTGCATGAGATGTATTTAACACAGCACATTACAAACTCCTGAATAACAGTAAATTACTATTCTTGCAGAAGTTGGCTCATAAAACAAAAATTCTATTGTCTGATACTGAGGAGAGCATTTAAGGTTGAGTGTTAAGTGATTTCTTTAAAAAGCAATCTTACTAGAGAATTATAGAAACCAAATAAAATAGGGCCTTATTCTGTACAACAGGATACTAAGAGGGGTACCTTTCTCTCCCCACCCCAGAGGCCCTGGATACCTACTAAGGGAATATGGGTTCCAGTCTTGGTTCTGTTACCATGTAGCTATGTGTTGCTGGGCAGATAGTTTTGTCTTTTTCAATCCTTTCTTTCCTTTGTGAAATGAAGGTTGGGGTGGGATATCTAAGATTCCTCTCAGCTTAAAAATTCTATAAAACTATTAATTATCAAAAGGAATATTTGAAGGTCTCAAACTCAAAGCACTGACTAGGTCAAAGACTTCATCTAAATTACCTGAAAATTAAGACCTATGGTCTAAAAGAACTCCATGTGGTCTGAGTTTCCCTCCCCTTTCCCTGAGGGGATCTATTTCAGCTTCAGAACTCTAACTGACTTCAAAGAGAGGCAGGCTTGTGTGCAAGAGACATGTAGTCATAGAGAGCAGGATGAGAATGCAATTGATTATTTATGTGTATTCAGTAAGAGAAATGACTCATAACAAGTATGCAATGAATGCAGCCATTTTAATGGGGATCAAATTGCATACATATTGACACCAAACTCGCTTGTATTCTTAGTCACTGCTGCTTTTTGTATGGTGATTGGTGTGATGGGGCAGAGTACCTGAAAACACACAGGTGATCTGGAGTTCTTTTAACCTCCACAATAATGCAGTGTAACTCTTGTAAAAAATATTCCTGACACTTGCAGGGACACTCCTTTGAGTGTGTTAGCTTTTCAGCCTTGGAATCTGGATCAGGCTTGGCAAAAATGGAGATTAATTCTGATTACAACATAGCCTTTTAGCTAGTGAAACTTTATGATCATTTCTCACCTTGCTGAGAGTATCATGTAGGATGGAGGCTCCTTGATGGTAGAGATGGTATCACTTTTGTAACTGTAAATCTAGCACCTAGTAAAGTGCCTGGAACATAGAGGACACTTGCAAATACTCGTTGATTAAACTTGGTTAGAGTAGCTCTATGCCAATCCATCATGGCGAACCCATCTCATTAGTTCTTACTATCACTTTAACAGTACATCTGGGTACTCTTGATCCAATGATAAAATGTATTTCACCAACAGTATTCTTTTCCTAAGGTTAGTGTGGCAAGGGAATAGAATGCTGTACTTGGAGTTAGTAGGACCTGTGTTCAAATCCTGCCTGTGACACTTATTCTGTGAAATTTCTTAAACTCTTGCCACTCTAAGAAATTCTCTAAGACTGAAAGTTTCAGAGCAGTTGCTGGTCTGCTTTGGTAAGAAAGGGTTTCTTCATCATCACTTCCCTACACCAATGAAATCATAGATTCAAATCACGCACAAGAATAATCCTTTTCATGTATTCTCTGGAAATTTAGGCACCAGTGATCACTTTTATTTCTTTCTCCTTTCTACAATTGACAGCTATGTTTGCCCACCTTATCTCACAGAAAAATGTGATGCTGCTTTTGTAATATGATATCACTTGCCGGGTATGATTATATGATTGTGCATAATGTGCCTATGAAATCTTTTAAATAAAAAAATCACATATGAAGTTTGCTAGAGATAATGCTATATAACTACAAATGTTAGACTAAGAATTCTTAACTGGGGTGAAGGTGTTCATATGCTTGTTTAAAAAATAATCTTGATAACTAGATTTCAATGTAATTGGTTTCCTTTGTAATCCTATGTATTTTATTTAGTCAATTTAAAAACATTATTCTGTAGTTATTTAGACAGACCTAAATAATCAGAGAAATAATATTTGCTCATGAGTAAGTGGAGCCAATAGAAATGATAATAATATCTAAATTAATTCAAAATACCAAGGGATTACTTTACAGAACTTTATAGAAAAAATGATAATGAAATTCATCTGGAGGAGCAAAAATGGGAAGAAAAGAGGACTAGCAGCACTGGATCTCAAACAATACTATAGAGAATGAATTGCCAAAACAATTTGGTACTGGCTAAAAAAGAGATCAACCAGTGGAAAAGATTAGGTACATAGCCTACAGAAACAAATGAACCTAGTAGCCTAGTGTTCAATAAATACAAAAACCCCAGGTATGGGAGTAAGGATTCACTATTTTATAAACACTGCTCAGAAAACTGGATAGTAGTATGGCAGAAATTAGGAGAAGATTAACATCTCAAATCTTATGATAAGATAAACTCCAAATAGATAAGAGACCTGGACGTAAAAGGTCACAGCATAAACAAATCAGAGGAACAACAGAGAAATTACTTTTCAGATCTATGTACAGGAGAAGACTAAACAAAGAATAGAGAAGATAAAATGGACAGTTTTGATTACAAAAATTTTAAAAGTTTTGCATAAACAAATTCAATATAGCCATGATTAGAAGGGAAGCAATTGACTAGGAAAAAATCTTTGCAGCACGATTCTCTGAGGAAGGTCTCATTTCCAAGATATGTAAGAGACTGATTTAAATTGGTAAGAATAAGAGCCATACACCAATTGATAAATGGTGAAAGAATATGAACAGATAGTCCTCAAAGGAAGAAATCCAAGCTAGCTATTATGAAAAATGTAACAAATCATTAATTAGGGAAATGAAAATTAAAACAGTTATGGTGTCCTACCTCATATCCATCAGACTGGAAAGGCTGACAAAAAAATATGTTGTAGGGGTTGCAATGAAACAGATACACTGTTTGGGTTGTGAATCGGTCTAGTAATTCTGGAAAAGCAATTTGGGATTATGCCCCAAAAGTTATGAAACTGTGCACTGAACCAGTGATATCACTCCTAGGCTTATGCCATCAAAGGGATTAAAAAAAGCAAAAAAGGTCATGTATGTACAAAAATATTTATAGTAGTTCTTTTTGTGGTGGCAAAGAACTAGAAATTAAGGGTGTGCCCATAAAATGGGGAATAGTTGAACAAAATATGGTATATGACCATAATGGAACACTATTGTGCTGTAAGAAATGAAGAAAGACATTTTCTGAGAAATCTTGGAAGACATTCATGAAGAAATGGACTGCAGTGAAAAGAACCAAGATAATAATTTATACTATAACATCAATATTGTAAAAACAAATGATTCTGGAAGACTTAAGACCTCTGATCCACATAATGTTCAACCAAGATTCCAGAGGACTGATGATGAAGAATGTTGCCTACCTCCTGAAGGAGAGATGATGGACTAATATGCAGAATGAAAAACACATTTCTGGACTGTGGCCAATATGGGAATTTATTTTGCTTGACTATGCAATTTGTTACAAGGGTTTTAAATTTCTTTGTTTCTTTTTTTCCCCAGTGAATGGGGTGCGGGGTGGGGGGGGGAGAAGAGAGGTGAGGGGGAAAAATAAATGATTGATAATAGAAAAAATTTTAAAATGTATTTAAAAAAGAATTAAAAACATTATTCTGAGAAAGGTTGCAGAGGCTTTGCCAGATTGCCGAAGAGAAATACAAAATACAAAAAGGGTTAAAAACCCCTGAATTAGAGTTTCCTTATTTTTAAGCTTATTTTGGGGGTGGAGGAAGAGGATGAAGTCTTCATTTTCCTTACCATCAAGCACTATTGAATACAAATTTTATTTCTTTGCACTCACCTGTCCAGGCTGTTCACAGGCTGTTTGGTACCGTGCTTGCTGGCAAAGTTCTTTGACCCTCTCGTATTTGGGTAGGTGATTTGACTGTTGGGCATTCTTGCTAGGTTCTTCCTTCTTGCGCAGGAATTTGCTTTGATACGAAGGGACAAGCATTAGACAGGTGCTCTTCCCCACTTGCCATGATCCATGCCCACCCTACAACCTCACTTCTTAACAAGAGGAGGGAACTTAATTAAGAGAAAGCTCTCTGAAAGAGGGGGTACTGCCAAATTCAGCATTTGGTGAGCTGCTTGGATGAAAACTATCACTCAAGAGTCACCAAGAAACTTTCTGGGATGTCAAAGCTGCTACTAGAGTCACCCTTTTCAAACAGTAGCAGTTTTTAAAAGCTTTATCCATTCAAAGTGCTTAGTTTTAGAGGCTATAAAGCTAGCGCAGCTAATAATCATTGAATGCCTTTAGCTGTGAGAATTGATGTTATGACGAAGGGCAAAGCATGGAATCAAATGGGCAGAAATCAGTGGTTTTATAAAGAAATCTCCATTGCCTTTTGGAATTTATTCTAGTTATCAAAAGTGTAATTCAAAAAAACAAAACCTGGGAGATTGGAGATGGGGCTTTGAGTGCAACTGAAGAGGTAAACATGGATTTGGTTATATTATAAAAGCAATTTGAGGATCATGATCAGAAAGGTTGATTCATTTTTTTTTAACAAAGTGCTATAGGTAAAAAAAAAAGTTCAAATCAAAACAGGTTAAGGCCCCATATTATGAGCATTCATTGTTGAAAATTCAGATGCAGGAAGGCTGTAATGAGGGATCCAACTTGCCTTGTTGGTCAGCAGAGAAGGATTAGAAACTGTCTGACCTTGTGACTAGGAATTACAAAATCTGCAGGCTTGCTGAGTGAAAATGAAAAAAAAGCACCCAAGAGGTAGATTTGACCACTAAGAATGTTTTCCATCAGTACCCCAAAGCCAATAATTACCCTCTTTCCACTAGGAATGTATCACGCCAAATTTTGGTCTTTTTGTTTGTTCGAAACCTGAAAGCAAAACAATAATATTTACTGCTGGCATCTGGAAGCCTTTTCATATGGAGTTATATTAACAGTTTATTTAAAGAAGCACCTCTCACTTCATATGGACCATTAACTATAACTTTACAAATGTACTATTCACATACAGCTTAGAAATTCCAAGTTTGTGGTGATCTTGATGGAAAGAGCTTGTTTTGCTAGAGTTTTTCTCTGTGCCATGGTGGGTTGGCTCAAATGTACACTGAGACTGGCTGTAGGGAAGGATAATGACCCACCTGTTACCTGGTTTTTCTAGGTCCAGCAGTTTGAGGACTGACTTGCCATCCACATCAGGAGGAGTGTCGAGCCCAGCAATATCCAGGATGGTGGGAGCCAGGTCAATGTTCAGCACAATCTGAGACACTCTGCAAGGGAATAGTTAGATGAGAAAGCCATTCACCTCCCATCAAGAGGGCATGCAATTTAGGGTGCTTTTCTAGGAGCAGAGCAGTATTAGTAGTTTAAGGTTATATAGTGCTTTACATCAGAGGCATAAAACTCCCAGGTGATTGAGTCCAGAGCCTGAATAAAATGCAGTTGGGAAATATTTTACAAAATAAATAAAAATACAATACAACATAACAATGGTCATTTTTTAGTAAATAAATAATGGTAGTTTGTTGTTTTCTAAGTCACTATGCAGCCTGCAGAGATCAGTTTGCATCTGAGGTCAACACCACCACTTTACACATATTCTTTCATTTGGTCCTTACAACAGCCATGTGAAATCATGAAGGATTGACTTTTATCTATCCAGAGGCTTTTTTTTTTGACCCCATTATGACCAATGAGATGTATTTATGAAGCATTTGGCTAGGGTGAGGATTGCACTCTGTAGCTGTGGAACAGAGCAAAGCTAACTGACCCATAAAGGGATCAAAACTGGAGATCATGGCCTCATTAACACCACTGTATAATGGAGTTAGCAGCCTAGCCAAGGTCAGGCATATGGCTTTCGCAGGATGTGCACTGCCTTCCCAAAATTCTTTGAGTCAAAGGCTTTTCCTGCAGACCTAGGGTTTTCAAAACAGAGCTTCCAGATTCTGTCAAAAGGCGACTAAAGGCTTTCAAAGTTGAATATTATCTTCTACTCTATCTCTCAAACAGATTTTCTAAGATTCACTTTTAAGAAAAACCAGGGTGCTTACAATTGTTTCAGGACATACCTCTGCATTCTCAAAACACAACCATTGAAATCCACAACCCTTAAGGGATGCAGCATGACATAGTAGAATGAGCATCGGATTTGCTGTCACAAGACCTTTCTATGCCTTTATTCCCTCATCCTAACTGCATTTACTGTACGATTTGGACAAGCCACCAAACTTCCCTGGGCTTTAGTTCCCACAGCTCTTAAATTGACCAGATGGCCCATCTGAGGCCTCTTGGGTCACTTCTTCAGCTCTAGGCTGATGATTTCATGATTTGCAAAATGAGGGGACTATATTGGATTACCCTTGGTGCTTTTTTCAGCTCATTTTATAGATGGGGAGATGGGAACAGAGACACTATGGCTCACTCAAGGTTATATATCTAGTTAATGGAAAGGATAGCATTTAAGTATATACTAGATGCTTAATAAATATTTACTGACAACTTAAGGCCATGTCTTCTGTTTTCTACTCAATGATTATTTCCATTAGACTGCATTGTGTTGTTCAAATATATATATATGTGTTTGAGTGTGTGTGTGTGTGTGTGTGTGTGTGTGTATTACCCTACACTTCAAGAAACTGGGAAGAGGTTAATGTGAAATCAAACAAGTGAGAGGTTGTTGCTACTTAAAAACAGTCATGAATCCTTCTCCTAAAGAATCCTTTCCCTTCCAAATTCTTTATTTACCTACCAGACCAAGAGGTGTGAGTTCTTGTTATGCAAAGATGGACTATTAATAATGTTCTTTTTTCTCTGTCTTTGAGTTATTTTGAATGTGACGGTAAAAAAAAAACAAACCCTTTATCCCTATCTTTTAAGTTGTTTAATCTGAAGATACTGTTTCCCAATCAAAGGAAATTAAAACTGAGATTTTTATTAACCAAAGTTATTGAATTGCTTTTTGCTTGATAACTTGTGTCATAAACAGAAGAGTACATACATTGATCCTGGTTCTACACTTGGTCCACGAATAAAGAAAGGAACACGGATATCGAAGTCATATGGCATGGATTTCCCCTTGACCAATCCAAACTGCCCAATATGGTACCCATGGTCTGCAGTGTAAATGATGTAGGTGTTATCCAGTTCTCCAGTTTCCACAAGCATATTATATAGCTGAAATACATCACAGGGAAAAGAAGAAATGAAATGGAATGGTATAACATGACATCTGGAGGATTTTACTACAATTGTCCCTGCTTAACCCCTCTTTAAAAAAATTCCTTTTCAATATGAGTTTAACGATCATTAGACAATACAAGCATTTTAATATACAAAGAAGAGCACAAAAGGGAATATGTGGAACCATCAACTTCTGTCACATGTACTTTAATATTTTTCTAAAACTTATCATGTTACAGTGCAAAGATTGTTTCTAAAAGGTTGAGTAGGGGGATGGGAAAAAAAAAAAACTATGATTTCATTGGTAGAGGAACCTCCCAAAGAGGAAAAGCCCTCTATTAATGCATAAAGGCATTTGCTCTATGACTTACAGCCTTAGAGAATTGTCTAGACGTATTAAGTGACTTGTGTAGGGAAACATAATGTTTGTCAGAGGCAAGATATAAACCTAGGTCTTTCTGATTATGGCTTGCTCTCTAAAAGGCTGATGTCTTATTTTTTTTTGTTTTCAAATTATTTTTTCCCCCAATTAAATGTGAAAATGATTTTTAACCTTCTTTTTTAAAATTTTGAGTCCCAAATTCTCTCCCTTCCTTCACTCCTTTCTGAGCTGGTAAGCAATTTGATATAGGTTATATATGCACATCATTAAAAACATATTTCCATATTCATCATGTTGTGAAAGAAAACATACACCCCCCAAAAAAAACCCTATAAAAATGAAAAGGTGAAAAATAGTATGCTTCAATTTGATGCTTCAATCAGCTGTTTCCCTGGAGGTGGATAGCTTTTTCCATCATGAGTCCTTTGGTATTGTCTTGGATCATTGTATTGCTGAGAATAGCTAAGTCATTCATTCACAGTTCTTCGCACAATGTTGCTCTTACTGTGTACAATGATCTCCTGGTTCTGTTCACTTCACTTTGCATCAGTTCATGTAAGTCTTTCCAGGTTTTTCTGGAATCACTGTGTTCATCATTTCTTATAGCACAATTGTAATTCATCTTACAGCACAATTATAATTCATCACACTCTTACACCATGACTTGTTTAGCCATCTCCCAATCGATGGGCATCCCCTCAATTTCTAATTCTTTGCCACCACAAAAAGAGCTGCTACAAATATTTTAGAACATATAGAGCCCTCCCCTTTTTTTTTGATCTCTTTGGGATACAGATCTAGCAGTGGGAGTGCTGGATCAAAGGGTACAAACATTTTATAGCCCTTTAGGCACAGTTCCAAATTGCTCTCTAAAATGGTTAGATCAGTTTATAACTCCACCAGCAGTGCATTTTCCTACACCCCTTCAACATAGATTATTTTCTTTTTCTATCACAGCCAATCTGAAATGTAGGAGGTTGTACCTCAGATTTGTTTTGATTTTCATTTCTCTAATCAATTGTGATTTAGAGCATTTTTTCATATGACTATAGATAGCTTTGATTTCTCTATCTGGAAAGTCCCTGTTCATATCCTTTGACCATTTATCAATTGAAGAATGATGTATTCTTATAAATTTGACTCAGTTCTACATATATGACAAATGAGGCCCTTATCAGAGACACTTGCTGTAAAATCCACCCTCCCCCCAGCTTTCTGCTTCCCTTCTAATCTTAGTTGCATTGGTTTTGACTGTGCAAAATCTTTGTATTTAATATAATCAAAATTATCCATTTTACATCCTGTAATGCTCTCTATCTTTTGTTTGGTCATAAATTCTTCCCTTACCCAGATATCTGACAAGTAAACCATCCAATGCTCCCCTAATTTGCTTATGGTATCACCCTTTATGTCTAAATCATGTACCCATTTTGACCTTATCTTGGTATATGGTGTGAGATGTTGGTCTATACCTAAGTTTCTGCCAAGCTGTTTTCTAGTTTTCCCAGCAGATTTTGTCAAATAGTGAATTCTTGTCCCAAAAACTTGGAGCTTTGAGTTTATCAAAATCTAGATTACTATGGTGATTCTCTACTGTGTATTTTGTACCTAATTTATTCACTGATTCACTGCTCTATATCTTAGGCCAGCACCAGTTTGTTCTGATGATTACTGCTTTTTAGTACAATTTGAGATCTGCTACAACTAGGCCACCTAGGGCTGATATTTTAATAAAATGGTCTCTTAACCTTCCTTAGCTATCCATTTTATCTACTAAATCATCTACATCAGTTGAGTTCTCTGTCCTCCTGGGGAATAAAATCATCATCTAGCTGATTCAGTTGTCTTCAATTCCATTATATGCTCACGTGGGGTGGAGGAGTCAAGTAAACTAACACTTTTGAAATTTAATCATTTTTTCAAGTGCTTATATTTTCATTACACATTATTATATTTTTTTTGGTTAAGAAGAAAACTTTCTGTAACACGTCAGTTTGAAAATGAAGCAGGTAAGCAAATTATTTTATCGTTGCCCTTATGTTTACATGTTCTTCCTGTTTCTCTTCCAGTTGTGACTGGCTTGGCTTCCCTCAATTCCACCTGAACCACACACTGAAAAGTAGGGGGAATGAGAAAAAGGTGGGAGCAGGGTGAAGATGGCAAGGGTATTTAGAAATCAATGTCCTGAAATGCAAGGAAAATGTGAAAAAGCAAACAGTTTTGAGGGCAAGGGCAGGTGATGCAGGAGAGAAAATAGGAGGAAGCATCCTTTAGGATTTTGTGTGCTTACCCTTTCCACAGAGTCATCAACTGACATCAGAGTCTGAAGCCTTTTTCGCTGCAAAATATTTGTAAATTCCATGTGGATGGGCAGCATGGGTCCTGTGTACTGCATTATCCAATGCTTATCCATATTTGGTGCATAGTTGTAACTGGGAGTACTGAAAATAGCCAGGAAGGAGTCTTAGTGTATTTTTATATTTAGTCACTTATAAAAACTCAGCAATAAGGGTCATGAAATAATCTTTCATGGGAAGCAATTAAAACATCACTAACATATCATTTTTTTCCTCTCTCCAGACTATGTCTTCTTTGCTTAGAGGAATTGACAAATTGTCCTGAGAGTTACACTGGGAAGTCTACTCTAGTCCTTCTGGACTGAGGAACTCTTTCCCTTCTTGGGTCTCTTATAGCACTTAAAAAACATTCTGCTTTTCTGTGCATATCCTTTCTTTCCTACTAGACTATCAGCTCCTTGAGGATAGGAAACATGTCTTATTTATCTTTGTATCTTAATTTCCCCTGGGTCTTGCATATGGCTGGAGCTTAATTTTTTGGTGATAAAGTTGAATTTGAAATTATCATAATCTGAAACATCATTAAAATCTCTGGAATTATTTCAATTTAAAATTTTAAATAAAGATTTTTAACTGACACACTGCCATTTTAAAGTGTAAGTCTTTTAATATTCTCCATGATCTGTATAGAACTGGATAGAACCTTTCTAGCCTTATTTTATAGGTCTACATTTCATATGCTTCATATTCCAGCCAAACTGATGATTAACCATTTCCTGGTGTCACCCCACTCTCCCCTACTCCCTGTCTATATACAGGCTACCCTCTGCCTAGAATAGACTCCCTTTATATCCCTGCTGAAATGCTTCTTTTCCTTGAAGGCTTAGCTCAGAGACACCTCTTCCGTCAAGGTTTTTGTAGGGCCATCTCACAAAAGCTTCATGCATCTCTGTGTGACTTCTTTTTCACTTATCACAGAAGTTTACTTAGGCAAATATCTTAGGCCTTCCCATTAGATTATAATTTCTTTGAAAGCAAGGGCTATGTTGTTTTTATTTCTGCAGTTCCAGTACGTAGTATGATATATTGTAACAAACTTGATAAATGTCGTTGAATCGAACTTTTGTTTGGGTGTGTTGGATAAAAGCTGCATCATACGCAGTGTTGTTATTCTTGTTCAGTCATTTTAGTACTGTCCGACACTTCATGATCCCATTTGGAGTTTTCTTGACAAAGATACTGGGGGGTGGTTTGTCATTTCCTTCTCTAGCTCATTTTACAACTGAGGAAACTGAGGCATACGGGGTTAAGTGACTTGCCCAGGGTCACACAGCTAGTAAGTGTCTGAGGCCAGATTTGAACTCAGTTCTTCCTGACTCCAGGCCTAGTACTCAATCCACTGTGCCACCTAGCTGCCCATTATACACAGGAATATGACTACAATTGCCTTTATGTTCAACGTTTATAATGAAGAAGCCAATGATGTTTTCATAGCAATATGAAATCAGACCTCTTTTGATTTCTTCTTAGGGAGTTAAGTATCCCATCTTCTACAGGAAGTTTTTCCCAATCCCTCTCAATTCTAGTGCCTTTTCTCTGTTAATTGTGTCCTTTCTATTATGCATTTGCCTGTACACACATACACATACACACACACACACACGCACAGAGTTTATTTATTCGTCTCTCTCATTAGATTTTGAGCTCCTTGAGAACAAGGACTGTCTTTTGTCCTGTGTATCCTCAGTGCTTGGCACAGTGCCTGACATATAGTAGGCATTTAAATGTTTATTGATTGATTAATTGAAATATGTTATCATAAATACTTGCTGTAAGTAATGTGGACAAATTGTTATTTTTAACATATGCTTCTCTTGAAACTTACTCCATTTCTTGAATGATATATTTCTACTATACACAAAGAGACTTCATTACTCAAGTAAAAGTCATAATATCATACTGTTAACTAAAAGAGCCTGCCTAGTAATAAGGCAGCATCATGGAAAAAAGAGCAAACTTAGAACCCAACAGATCTGAGTAAAAGTTCTGCTTCTGATATATACTGGCTGCATGACCATAGACAAGTTACTTTAACTCTCAACACTCCCTAATGCTCTAGATTAGCATGGGAGAAAGGGTTCTGGATTTGATATCAGAGGCCTGGATTCAAATTTCAGCTCTGCCTTTACTATCTGCGTGACCTTGGGCAAGTCACTTAACATATATGGACCTCAGTTTCTTCATCTGTATAATGAGGACATTTGGGCTCTAAGGTTCCTTCCAACTCTAAATCTATGATCCTATGAAATGTTTGCTAAATTTCTATGTGAGCAATACCTGTGCATTTTGCACAATGTTTCTGGTAGTTATAGGCATGTCAGTCCCACATTTCCCTTCTGATTTTAAATTATGTGAAAATTGGGACTCTCCATTATTTTTCACCTAGATTGCCCAAGTGTTAGAGATACATCTAGGTGCACAATGGAAGTAAAGGGAGTCTTCTCAGGTGTCAGTATATCATTATCATTAAGCCAATACAGCTTCGCAAAGAACCCCTTGGTCAGAATGAAGATTCTGGGTGAGTAATAAGGAAAACTGTTATCTAATTGTTGCCAACCCTTAAAATATCATAGCTGGGAAAATTTTTAGGTCTTCTCTCTAAGCCCAATTGCATACAATCTAATAGTGTTATTCAAGAGATTATCACTCCAATTAATGAATCCTTCATTTTAGGTTAAACAAGTATATTCAGAAATCTCCAAATGAATTATATATGACCTCACATATAAAGTTCATCTTGTAGTGGTCAGATTCAAGTGTTATTTTCCCCTAGAGACATCTTAGCCTGAGAGACACAATTATCTCAGAGACACCTTAGCAATATGATTATAGCAATGAAGAATTTCGAAAGGAAATGGGCCATGTAAGTGTAATATTTTCATCTCTTCCTCCTTTTCTTTTTCCTGCTCCTTTCCTTCCTTCTTGACAGAAGATCTAGGGGAAAAACTTTTTGCCTACTTCTATAGCAGACCCTGCTAGCAACAGTAGAAAAGTTCATCCCTGATTCTCCACCCTACTATATTCTTATCCCATTTTTCATCAGTGAGTTAAAACTGCTCTTGAGTGTGGGATGAAACTATCAGTAGGGAAGTTCACAAACTGGTTCCAATTACAATATGGCACTTAGCACAAATAACAATATTACCAAGGTTAAATCCTATGCACCCAAAGTCCTAAACTATAGTCTACTTTACCAAGAAATTTCATGGGCACTCTGTGTTGTGGCAAAAATCACCAGTGGAAACTTTCAAACAATATCTTCCTGTATTTCTTAGGGGGAATTACAGAACACATTTTTCTTCTATTGTCCAGTGAGTAGATGACTCACATACTGAATGGTTCCAATGAACAAAGTGTGAAGGAATTTGTCCAGCTCCAAAAAGTGAACTGCTGACTTGTTTTCCACTGGCCTGATCAGGGCTACTGAATTTCAAGAATAGATGAGGCAGGAAAGGCTCTTTTAGTTAACATTGTGAAATTATAACTTTTACTTAAGCAATGAAGCCTTCTTGTACATCAAAAACCAAGATTGGGATGGGTTGTAGCACAAGGAGAAAGAGAGCTGGATTTAAAATCAGAAGACTTAGTTTCCAATTTTAGGCCTATCTCTCACTGCCTACATGACCTAGAGTAAGATACTTAACATTTCCAGCCTCAGCTATTTTACCCGTAACATGATTAGGCTGAACTAGCTGACCTCTATGGCCCCTTACTGTTCTAATTCCTATGATCCTACTATTCTCAGATTGAGCATGTAAGGGCATAAAATGTTCCTTCTCTTAGAAAGGGAGTGATTGAGCATTCTTTGGGGATGCTTTGAGATTAGAAAAATAAGACATATCTGTTTGCAAAGGTTTCCCAAACTGTTCACTGATCCATAGTTTAAAAAGGGTTGTTGCTATACCAGAATAATTTTACCATGTTTATTTATAATCAAATATTCTCTCATTTCTTTTAATGGCAAGAAACCTTAAAAATCAATTGGTTGGTTTTTTTTAAACCACAAAACCAACCTCACACAAATAAAAAATTTATAGCAGGAATGGAACTATGGACTCATATTGGGTTAATGATTTTGACATCAGCTACCTTCATGTGCGTGGCATCATTCAGCTTCATTTGGTGAAACAGGCAAGGTTAGTGTGAGATTCATGTAAAAAAATTAATTTTTTTTAGTGGCAATCAGGGTGAAGTAACTTGCCCAGGGTCACACAGCTAGTAAGAGTCTGAGGCCAGATTTGAACTCAGATCCTTCTGACTCCAGGGTCACTGTGCCAGCTAGCTGCCATGTAAGCTTCATTTTTGTAAACTGGGTACACATATTTAGCAATAAGTTGTGCTTTATTGTATTTTATATGTGGGAACTCATAAGGGTATAAGGCACATTGTCAAAATCATAGCATTTCTTTTATTTTATTTTCTTCCCCTCTATAGTGTGACCCTGTTCTCAAAGGAAGGATTCCCAGAAAAAGACCTGAAGCATAGGGTAGGAAATGCAACAAAGGAATGCAGCATTGTCCTTCTGGCAGAAGACAGGTGAATCCTGATTCCCATGGACCATCAGCTATCTTTAGGGATCTGAAATATGTTGATGAGTCACTTCAAAAAAAATTCCAAACTGTCATCCTCAATCATCGAAGATGTAGCCTTTAAGATAGTACTTTAACATGTGGCCTCCTGCCTTCTAGCTTTAAGTGATACTTGCTTTTTTACACTAAACAAAATTCTTGTTTGCAATGCCCTAAGGCACATAAATATCAGATAAACACCTGTGTTATCAGGGGCTAATGGAAAAAACACATGAAAAAAAGACATCACGTAAGTGATATTGGCCATGAAAGATCCATATGATCTGAAAGTAAAAGAAATCAGAAGTCTGTCTGTCCATTGGTCCTTCTTCCCTATCACCTAAGGATGGAGAGTTGGACTCATCTCCACTGCAACTCTGGTAGCTAACTCTGAGATAATCCCCTGTATAAGTTACATCAATTCCTTTTTATTAACATTTAATATGGTTACATTTACCACCTCTTTGTTATTACTTTTCTGAAGTGAAGAGAGGGAGCTTTTTTCTCCTTTCTTCT